AAGAATAGATGGTATAGTAGGAGTAGAAAGGGGAAGTATAGGGAGATGAGGACAGGGAAGATTAGCTAGTGTACTAAAAGCCGGAGTCTATTTATTGTGCGGTTATTTTACTTGCCATATTAGTAAATATGCCATTACATTTGAAGTGGAAATCTGCATGCAAGTGCTTCATGTAAAAATGGATAAATCAGTCTGGGAGAACACAAACGCTAGTTACTTTTGAGATCAGAGTAAAAGTTAGTAAAGTGGGACAGGTATTTAATATAGTATACTGTACAGGGTGCGTAAAGTGGGACAGGTATTTAATATAGTATACTGTACAGGGTGCTCAATAAAGTAGACCAGGTAATTAGTATAGAATACTATACAGGGGTGGTAAGTAAACTGGAACAGGTAGTAAGTGTAGGTGTACAATACAGGGTGCTCGGCACATCTTCTCGGGCGCGGTGGGGAAGAACATCGCCAACCCCACCGCCATGCTGCTCTGCTCCGCCAACCTGCTGGCGCACGTCAACCTGCACTCCTACTCCAAGATGATCAAGAACGCCATCAACAAGTAAGCATCACCAACACCATCATCATCACACCGTCATTAAACATCATCATCACCTCACTTTTCGGGCCAGAGTCCTTTTAGCCCTTCCTTTATCACCCTTTTCTAAATTTGTAGGTGGAGACTTATAGGAAAAGGAAATATTATCTTTATGTGCGTCTCCTCTGTCGATCTATCGATTCGATCTAGACCATAGTAAAGTGCACTGTGGGTTAACTTTATATCTTTGATCTTCACAGATATGTATTTTTTTTTCACAATAAAATCACAGTTTTTATATCATAAGGTGGTAAACCTGTGGCCCCTTAAATTCGCCAAAATGGCGATGTCATCGCTGCTTATAGACATCTGCAATCGCAGATAATTTGTCTACCTTTTATCGATGGAGGAGATTTAAATAAAATGTGCCTTCCCCTTGCCTCCCCTTCCTATGTCTCCTCCACTGTCAAATTTACTTTTCCTTAAATAAAATTATTCTCAGTTATAGGTTATTTTGTTCAGGTATCGAAATAAGTAATTACTTTGTGTTGCAGGGTTCTGACAGACGGTAAGGTAAGGACCAAGGACCTCGGAGGTCAGTCGACCACCAAAGACTTCACCTATGCGGTTATACACAGCCTCGCTTGAGTAAAACATAGCTGAAAAATAGAGTTTTATATAAGGATAATTTATTTATTTCAGTATTTATGATCTGTAATTGTTTTGACATTGAAAATGTTACCATTGTAAATAAAAAAATTAAATATTCCTGTCTATTTTATTTGCCTTTAAATTAAACTATTGCTATTTTTATCAAACAGTAATTCCACCTTTTTATAGTAATGTATTTGATTAGAATGACTTTTGACGTAAATCTACTTATAATTGCGGTATAACTCTCGGGGTAGCTAGCTTCTTAGTTCGGTCCGTTAGCACGTATTTGAGAGCGCCCGGCGGCACCTGAAATAAAATAAATATAACTTCAACACAATAATTAAGATGTTATTTTTTAAGTTCAACACCTTCCCTGTATTTTGATCTATTTTGGAAAAACAGAAATAACAATATACTTTAATATGTTTTACAGAAATATGTTCAATCATTTGCCAGACTCCTTCCATATTGTGACAAATTTAATCGAGATTTGTTTAGCCATTCTGGAGATATCTTCTAATATCCATCCATCTAAACTTTAGCATTTACTATTTTAGTGAGATGAAATACCTTAACAGGGTCCCGGTAGTTGGAATCTTGCGACAATCTCCTGTACAACTTGAACCTGGGCAACGAACTTATCAGTTTGATTCGCGGCAACAGCGCCTCTAGCGGCTTGAACGGTCCTCGCTGATAAATTAAACATGCATTACAAGATATCCGACTTGAAGGACCATTTCTATCATCGTATTAAAAAATGATTTAATTACTTTAAAAATTAATTTATCTTTACGTATTCGGATTAGGATTTCTACAAAATAACTTTGTAGTATTTAGTCTTTACTATAGATTGCGAATTTCTTACAAAAACCAAGTTGTTTTTTGTAAGGAATGCTTGTGTAAATGATAGCTAGCAGTCTTCAATTTCTAACTGTATTGAAAACATCTCTTTTTTATGAAAGTACTAGGGATAACAATATACAATTTTTAATTATTCAGACAGTGGAAATCTATTTCTATAAGTCATACCGGTATTGGCGGCGGTCTGAAGTCCCTCTTTGGTCCGGAGATCTGTCCGATGTAATCCATATGCTTCTTCCATTCACTTTCAGTCCAACCTTTTTTCTTCTTAACGTCTTTGGTGTCCTGTTTCTTCAGATCGATAACACAATTCGCGAGTTTCGAATAGCAAGTCGCATTCGCAGCCTCTATCATACGATCCAAGCGCTCCAAACGTTCCGAGCTGAAACGGTTCTTGTACGCACGCTTTGTTAGAAGCATGCGTCTGTAATTACATAAAATTTATGCTAAAATAAATATAAATCATACTATGTATCTACTTGTAGCTAAGACTTTTCATAATGCTGACTATTTTGACAATAAACTTTACTGTATTTATTATAACATATTAAATAAATTGATATTTTTATAACGGCTTTACGGATCTCGACGAAATTGAACAGTTTCGAAGGTAACCAAGGCTAGTTATAATTTAGCGCGGCAAAGTCGATGGAAAAGCTAGTATATATTATTTTAAAATTTTAGTATATTGGAACATCTACAAGAGTTTATACTTGGCAGAAATCCATGTCACATCTGCTTAGATGAAATAAGTCAAAAAGATATTGGATCTTGATGTCTTGATGGTTGTAAATAACACGCAAGTCGCTGCATTGAACAATGTTAGGTGTAGGATACGATATAATTTAAACACGTTACCGTAAGTACGGCCAAGCGGCGTCATGTACCCTGTCAGTTATATGTGCGTTTAGTGCGGACTTCCTGATGCCTCGCGGCGTGTATGCCGGCATTCCCTGCCCCGTGTCTGTGAAGTACTTCCTCGGTACACTCAGCTTGTTGTACCGTTTACGGATCTTGTACGGGAACGTCGGCGTCGGCGGATCGTACTTCGGTTTAATCATTTTGAGCTAGCTATCCTGAGAGTTTTACTGCTTTAGGTAATCACATGGTTCTTGTGATATCTATAGCTATTTATGTCATGGTTACAATTTAGTTATGTTAAGATTGCTTTTCCAGTTGCTCATGGATTGACGCGGAATGACGTGTGACTTTTGAAATCAAGTTGGCTATGGTTGTTAATTTTTTTTCCGAGTTTCAACACGGTTACTTACTTCAGTAAAAAGTTTTAATTTGTTGCGTTTATAACTTCATTTCGATATAAAAGTCATTTAACATTTCTTAATCGATTTAAAAATTAAATTAGAGAATTTTAAAATTAAATTATTAATAGTGTGGTACCTACTTCACGTTTATTTTTATTTCAAACCCATACTTGGTACAATTACCAAGTACGGACTTTCCAACGAGTCTGTCATTTGGGTAAAAATAAAACAAAGTTATTTATAAAACAATTTTATTTACATATACATAAACGATCAAATAAATACTGATCTCAATAATTTTACAAATAAATAGCAGCCTTATTTCACATCTGTTTCACCTATAAAACCAGTCATGTGAAGGTACTGCGAACTGATTAAATCAGAAATACAATAACAGAATGAAGCAAATAACTAAATAAAAGCGAAAAAGAAAACATTTATAAAATATATGCGAAAAGTAAACTTAAAAATAACTATCGATAAACTACTGCCCAACACTACTTTAAAATATGCTGCAAAAATGCTCACAAATTCTATTCATTACATGTGTATAGTAATTTTAGTCCAAAAAACCTGTTTTATTGTCTTTAATTATGCCGTATATTGTTACAAATTACTATTGTGGTATTAATGCAAAATAAACCTTCATTTTTATCTTAGTAAATTTTTCATGTCTGTGTTTCTAACAAGCAAAACAAGAATTATACTTAAAAGTATTATATTATTGTTTGTCAAATAAACTAAATAAAAATCAAATATTTTAAGCTGTAGTTTGTTATGAAGTTCTGAAAATTCAACACAATTTTGTTTCTGGTATTTTGTTCTATGTCGCCCTTTTTTTCTAGTTAAATGCAAAAATACAAAACATATCAATGTCGATATTACAAATTATCGATAATCGATGCACATCACTTAGGCTAATGTCATCAGTCGAAACGAATGTACATTTTTGTGAGGATTCTTAGTGACATTAAATAATAATCGATTAAAATGCTTAAGTGTAGTGGGCAGATAGATTTTAACAATTTATATTGCAGACTGGTAATTTTTTTTATAGGTGAAATTAAATTCATAGATATAGTTCGACAAACTTATCTGGCCTGAGAGGGGTTAGTTTAGTTCTACCGATATGTAACAAAATTGATACACAAGTTACAAGGGTTTTTGAAACCAAAGACTAGGACAAAAGAACAAGGCGCTTTTGTTATTAAACTTTTTAATGGCCACCGGGTCAGATAAGTTTGTCGCACTGTAAACCAATATAAATGTCAAAGGAATGTGACATTTGTCAGTGCGGCGCCAAAACATATGAAGGCATCTGCCACACACACGAATACAGAGTATAAAATATTTTAAACAAAATAAATATTTTATAAAAACCTCTTTAAAATATAAAAACCAGCTCTAAAATCGAGCTCCAAAAATTGATATCAAGATAAATTTATTATAAAGATGATATAATTGACAACTGTAAAAAAAAAAATATTTCGCTTCACAAAATCTTACCACAAATATAGAATAAAAATATTAAGTAATAAATATATTTTGTAAACGATTATATAATTTTTTGTGACAACTTCAAATATATTCAACTAAATTGGTTTAAAAAATCCATAGATATAAAACCTCTGGAAGCCTTTTGTGGGAAAACAATCTCTTCAGTGTTGTCATTTACAAAAATTAGTTTTTTAAAAATTCACTCTGCCATCAAACTTGTGACACAATCGACCAATGAAACGTCATTTAAATATGTAACATAGAAAAAAAAACAAATAACATAAAAGGAAATACAGTAAACCTCTCTATAACGCGAATTCCGTACCTCGGTATAACACGAAAATTCCCAAACAATCTAGAACTCTTATAACGCATGACAGTCCTATTGAAAAACGTGTTATACGGGGTATTAATGTGTTATAGAGAGAATTATGATATTTTTATAATAACTTAGTGTTGTCTTTAAATTTGTCTGTTTATATATAAATGTTTATACAGTTTTAACATGTGTGTGAGTGTGTGGTAAGAGTTTGCAGCGCCACCCTCAGGGTTCACTTGCCATCAGCG